CAATATATAGATAAGCAAAAATATGCCAGATAGTGATAAGTGCTATGTAGAGAATTTAAAACAGGGTGATGTATTAGAACTGATTAGATGGCCCATTAGACTTATCTAAAAATGTAATATTTTAAGTGAACACCTAAATAATACAGAGGAGACTTCCACAAAAGTAAAAGAGGATACATATAGAGAGCAAATTGGTAGAACAAAGGTTCTAGGCAGTTTGCCCACTAAAGCACAGTGAACATGAGGGGTATAAGATGAGGCCATGGAAACAGATAGGGCCCAGACTGTGTGGGATTTATAATCTTGGATGAGGAGTCTGGATATTATTGTGTTTGAGAAGACTTTGATGATTTTATGCAAGGAAGATTTGGCTTTAGTTTCAAAAGGATGACACATCCTTCTGGACAAAAGGAATTAAACATGAAGCAAAAATTGACGTAGGAAGAACCAATTAGGAAGGTAGTCCTTGATTTAACAAACATTTATGGGGCCTATATGCTTCAGAAGCTGTTTAAGGCACTGGGGACACAACCATAAAACAAAGTTTGTGTTGTTAAGGGGCATATGTTCTAGTTGGGGAACAGGCAATTAATAAACAAATAAATAATAAAATTCCAGATGATAATATAGTTACAGAGGTAAATAAAAAGGGTAAAGGAAGCTATATAGAATTGAGGAGGTCAGTATACTATTTTATAGAAACTATTGAGAGAAATCATCGCTGAAAAAATAATGTTTGGGCAGAGAGGGAAGGGATGATGACACTGGGGTTTAAAGATCCCTTAGATGATAAATAAAGGACCTGATATTCCTGAAACACACTTGGAGTACTAGAATAACAGGAAATAAGTTATGAGGTGACAGGGAAAAGAGATTGGAAGGGAAAGAGAGGAACAAAAGAGATAAGATCTCTTAAGATATTGTAAGAAAAGTAAGTAAGAGAAATGCCATCAGTAAAGTTTGAGCAGAGGAGTGATATCATCTAATTTATATTTCCAAAGATACTCTAGGAACTGTTAAGAACAAAGAGAGGTAAGGAAGGTCAAAAGCCTGAATGGCAGTGATTTGTTCATAAGAACAATCTGGTATATTGTAGTGGAGATGTAAGAAGTTAGTGGATTCTGTATATATTCTGAAGACAGAGACAACAAATTAAAATATTGTAAAGTAACTAAGGTGAGAGGTGATGATAGCTTATTTAGGTTGGCAGTAATGAAGTGAAGTAAATGAACAGAAATGGTTGTAGAGTTGAAACAAAAACATTGCAAATAGATTGGGTATAGAAAGTAAGGAAAAGCAAATAAAGAATTATTTGGAGTTTTAATTTGAGCAAATGAGTGGATGCTAATGAGTACTGGTCACACTAAATTTATGAAGTTTATTAGGCATTCATATAAAAACAGAATAAGCATTTGGATACACAAGACTAGAATTCCAGGGTTAGACATGAGATTCCAGGGTCAGTACTTCAGAGATGATATTAAAAGCCAGGGGATGAGTTATTTCATCTTGAGAAAAAAAATGTATAAATAATGAAAGATGGAAACCTAGGGCAAAAATGCAATAAGAGAATAAGCAAACCAACACTTAGAAGACACATAGAGGGCACACAGTGAAGAAAGAGAGAGGAACAGCCTAAAAGGATTGAGGAATAGAATAAGAAACATAGTAATCAAGGGAAGAAAAAGTATTTAGGGAAGAGAGAAATGGAACTTACTTGAGAAAGCAAAACAAAAGCACCGAAGTCACCACTGGATATACCAAAATAAAAACCGCACACCTTAATAAGAGGACTCTCGTAGAATTTAGGGGGTTAGAAGTCCCAAAGAATAAGTTGAAGATAGAGTTGAGGAAATAGATTACTGTGGTCTCTGACTACTGACACATTTTTAAGATGTTTCCCTAGTGGCTAGGGAAGATACAGGATCACAAGAGGAATATTTTAAGAGAGATGATACTAAAATGTTTGCATGCCAATGAATGATCCATTAAAGAAGGTGATTCATGATGTAACAGACAGGGATAATGGCAGGAATAGAATAAATGGGTTGACCTTTGGTACAACAATATTCTTAACCAGTATCTTTTTTCAACTACTTCATTCTACCAATCAAAAATTACATATCTCTAACTCTTAAAGTAGTTTAAAATGAACTTTACAAATTAATGACTCAAATGTAGCAAACTGTTTAAAATAAAAATTTGTTAAAATAGGCTTGATATAACCTGATTATAATGTACATCTATTGTTTTGTACCAGCACCTCTTTCTCCTACTTCTGGACCTCCTTTCCTACCCATGGTTTCTTTTGAAGAAACTATAGTTCCACATATTTCTGGTGGTATAACTGTAGTGTGGAGCCAGGTGAGGTGCTGCACACCTGTAATACCATCAGCATGGGAGGCTGAAGCAGGGGGATCCTAAGTTCAAAGCCTGCCCCAGCAAAAGCAAGGCGCTAAGCAACTCAGTGAGACCCTGTCTCTAAATAAAACATAAAATAGGGCTGGGGATGTGGCTCAGTGGTGTAGTGCACTAGAGTTCAATCCCTGGTACACAAAAATAAACAAACAAACAAACAACTATAATGTGGACATGTTTTCCAACTGAACAAATCAGACCTAGTATTTTTGATGGTGAAATTGAGAGAGAAAATGTTTTATTTTTTTTTTCTTGCACTTAAACTACAAGTCTCAAACAGAATAGTCTACTGATTTTATTTGAGTCCATGAAGTCAACTGGCCCAGAGGCCAGCCTCCTATTTCATCCTTTCTGAATACTGGTTACATAATCCAATAAATTCCCCTTCTTCACGTAAGTGAGTTTGATATGGGTATATCATCACTCAAAATCAAAAGTTTGGTGGATAAAAATTCCGCCACACATAAGTAAAAATTATCTGCTAGATAAGCATTTTACCAAAGATAAATAAACACAGACATTTCTTCTCCATAACATACATAAAGGAAAACAAAATATTTCCAGACTTACTTCAATATACCCATCACCAACTAATCAGTAGACCAATTTGAAAGGAAACACAAAATATCTGTGTGTACATGCATTTTAATTTTGGTGAGGCAGAAGACAGGGATCACATGAAAAACTGGGTTGGTCAATGTTATGGGTTGAGTCCCCCAAAAAAGACATTTTAATAAATTCTAACCCCAGTACTACAGAAGATGACCTTATTGAGATATAAAGACATTACCAACAAAGTTTATTAACTACATTTGAGTAGAGTGGGTCCCAAGCCAATATGATTGGTTTCCTTTACAAGCATGGATAGAATACAGAGTATAGTATCTTTATGTATTAACAAGACAATGATTATTCAATATCTCAAAGGTTTTACACAAAAGGGCCTATTTTTTTCAATTTCATGAAAGTCTTATTTATATGAGAAATACTAATTTAAAGAAAATATGCATATGATATGAATCTTACTTGAGTATAATACATGTAAATTATAATAATTAAGAAATGTTCTACATAAAATTTAATAAACTTATGCATATATATGTCAAGAATGGCAAATAAATCATTGCTTTGAACTCTGTAGCCTTGAACAGTAAGACACCACTTCTGGGACTCTTTTGGTCTAAAAGTCTGAAACATACACTCATTGACAGGTAATTGCTGTTGATGGGGCATATTCCAGGCCTGCCCATGAAATTTAGATGTTGTACAGCTTTAAATTCAAATGCCTACTGCCCTGGGGTGGAAGAAATATGGGCATGCTCAAAAGCTTTGAGGCGCCAGCTGTCCAAAGCTAGGTAAGATATCATGCAAGTAGATAAGCTCCAATTAGCCTATTCCTCCTCAACTTCACTTTTGTTTACCTTGAAGAAGTTTTTCTCATGATAAATCCTTTTGTTGTTTTTTTGCCTATAAAATAAAGTATGTGCTGGGTTTGTGGCTCAGTGGTAGAGCGCTTGTCTGGCATGTATGAGGCACTGGTTCAAGCTTCAGCACCATATAAAATATAAATAAATAAAATAAAGTTTTTTAAAAATAAATAAATAAAAATAAAGCATGTGGAGTCTTGCTCTTAATTAGAGGTCTGACATATCCTGCTGACCAAACCACCATATCCTGCTTTTAACCTGTTTTCAAGCCCTTTGTCTTTCTTTTATTTTTATCATAACTTTTAATTTTCTCATTCCGACTGACAGCCTGCATTCAGTAAACTTCATTCACTGTGCAAGATACAGCGAAATATGTATACATATATATATATAAATTAATAGAAATAATGATTTCTGGGGAAAGTTGCCAGAAAACTATTTTAACTATGACAAGCTTTTCATTTGCAACATAATTCTAAGACCTCATTTAGTAATAGTAAACATCCATTATTCTAGAATGACTCTGTACTTCAAGTAAAATCCTTTCATTCTCTTTCATTAACACAGTTTTTCCAAATTTTTCTTGAGAAAGTAGAATTATTTCCAAATGGATGATAACTTAATTCTTCAGTTTTAAAACGATTAACAAAACTATACTGTGAAATTTATAATTTAAATTTTTTCATTTTTCTTATTTTAGACATGGCAAAAATTACTTGTTTTGAGGACTTTACTTCTTAAGATTATAGTATCTGTGCATTTGTTTTAATTTAATTGTCTAAATTTTCCACTGAAGTGTGACTACAAATAGTACTTACACAGAAGAAATTTGGTACCAGCGTTTGATTATCTTCTTTGTAATCTTCACACTTGAGAAATACCCCAAAGCATTTTCATAAGAAAGTGATTTGCAAAACCTCAAACACCTTTACTAAATATAGGGTATCAATTAAATATCAAGTTTAATTCAACATTACACATGCTTATATCCAAAACAAAGAAGAATTTTTTAAACCAGGTAAAGATTATAAGATAAGAAGAATAAAAAACAGAGACTTTAAAAACATTTCTAAACTAAGGTCAGCATAAAATAAAATGTAAATTAAAACAAATGATTCAGAATATTGGTCTTGGTCTGAAAAGTACTGCACTTACCCAGAGCTTTACATGCAAATAGAGCCATGGCACTTTGCAATCTGTCAGGTCTTAGAGCCTGTACTACAAGAACCTTAAAATAAAGTACAGAATATTTTAAAATAGTAAAATTCCCATAATAGCTTCAATTTAACAATAGTTAATGTTCACTAATTCAACAAATGTTTAGTAAAATATGTATACACTTATTGTTCCATAGTGTTTACTGTGCTTCCAACTGTCACAATAGACATATGCTAAGATATCTATTAATATCCAGAATATTACTGAAATTCATTTGCTTCCTCAAACCTATGATCTAAAATAAACATGGGGTTAACTATGATCTAAGAGCTGAATAGCAGTTGAAAATAGGAGAATACAGGTAAAGCATTTCTGGTAACAGAAATCCTGACTAAAATCTACAAATCACTACTTTTATGTTAAAATCATGTATTATCCTTTGATGTATATTTCATTCCTAGATGTTTTATTCCTTTTTGGTTTTTTGATTTTTAAATTTTTAAACACGCTTGAAAAAAAATTCAGTGTATACAAAAACAAAAGGAAAACAGATCTTATAGCCAACAGCCTCAGATAACAGTTAAACGCAAGGGTCATTTCCTGTAACATCAATTCCCAGAGAGCTCTTCCACTCTACTCTTTGCCTAGCCACAAACTGAACAGAAACTACCAGTAGATTTCATCATTATATTTTGAAGTGAAATTAGAAAAATACTTTCCTCATCATTGGGTCTTTTTCTTTGATAGGACTCTAGAAAATGAATTAAAACTAAAGTAATTTGTATCTTAGTTTATTTTTACATCATTTTTCCTATTGCAAGATCTCATTTGGATCATGGACAAAAAGAATAAGAAAATCTACAATGGGAGATACCCGATTTAGAAATTTTGCTAGTAAGTTTCCCAGATAAGTTGGTAAAAGTAAACAAAAATCCTTCCTCCCACATGCCATTAAAGGTTAGATAATACTCTAAAAACCAAGTTTTTTAAATGATTTCTGAATGATGAAACATTAGTTTCTTTGTATTTTGATAACATCAAATATTACCTGCTGAAATAAGGAAACTTTCTTTGCAAGAATAGATGGAAACTCCTGTTCACACACTGAATTATGATAATAAGTTCGCCACAGAGCTACATCTTCAAAACAGAGAGTCTGATAAAGACTGGGAAGAGCAATCTAAAAAATAAAAACAACATATAATGAGCTACACGTAAATAGATGAACATGTACATATTTTTAAAAAAAAAATTTTAAGTGCAAATAAAACCAACTATTAATAAATAATTTATTGCTGGTTTTCTGATTTGTCTTGGCTTATCCAAGATGTTTTGATCATTTCTAGGTCAGAAACAGTATGGTAGGCTCATCCAGTGTTAATGTCAGCATTAAATAAAACATTTCCAAACTAGTACTAAATCAATATTCACAAAAGAAATCTCTTCTCTGCATAAAAATATTTATTCCTAGCTATCTCCACCTTGTGGAGAAAAGAAATGCTGTCACTAAAATCAAGTACAAATTTTAGAAATTGCTGCAATTGAATTCCATGTTATACTGCAAAAATATGTCAAATTTCATATCAATATCAACAAGGTGTCTCCCTCCTCCTCCTCCTCCTACTCCTCCTCCTCCTCCTCCTCCTCCCCCTCCCCCCCCCCCCCCCTCCCCCCCTCTCTCTCTCTCTCACACTCACACACACACACACACAAAAACAAAAAAAAAAAAAACCCTTTGGTCAGGTCTGTAGACCTTTTTTTGATTAGGCTTCAACCTTAGGCTTCATGTCCTTCCTTGCAGAAACCAGTTTTAGCAAGAAATTTGCTAAGTCAGTTTAGCAAATATCTCTATGCTCAGTATTTGATCAAATTCCTCATCCTATATCCTTGGTGTGTAATCATCCTCATCAGCCTTCAGCAAGAATGCTGCTAAATCAGTTTAGCCAGAATTCTCCCCACCATACCTTCAATATTTTCTCTTGGTAATCTTCCTTCTACTGACCCCACAATCCTGTTCCTTGACTATCAACTTCCACTAGTCCATGCTATGTTCAGAATTAAACCCACTTCTACACTGAGGTCTCTTTTCCTGCACTACAATAGTGTGTATGTGTGTGTGTGTGTGTGTGTGTGTGTGTGTGTGTAGATTTATCTTTGCAGATTTAGCTTCTAGCTACCTCTGTTTTTTCAGAAACAATAGCAAATCCTTAACAATGTATATTTTTCTAAGCCTCTTTCATTTATGCCCCTCTTTGTGAACATACTGCTTCTTTTGTCTCTAAATGTCCTAACCTTAGGGCTGGGCTGGGGCTGGGGCTGAGCAGTAGCATACTTGCCAGGCATGTGTGATTCTCAGCACCCCATATAAATGAAAGTCTATCAACAACTAAATGTTCTAACCTACTTTATGCCTCATAAATTACTACTCAGCATTCAATATTCGTCTTAAACAATATCATCATTCAGAGGTTTTCCTGAACATATCCATACCACTACTTCAGTGTTCCCCCTTCCTAAATTTATTTCAAGGGTGAATTATAAGATGATAAATGAAAAGCTATTCAGCTGGAGAATTTTCACTGAAAATAATGATAAATTAGAAGATCTGTACCTGTACTGTTAAACTTCATGTAACATAAAACTGAATCTAGTTTGTAAAAATTCTTTATACAAATGTGTATATTCATATCTAAACAATCCATTATAATGCCCAAATTTCATCATTTTTCCTATCTAAAACTAAACAATATTGACAAATTATATTTCAATTTAATTATTTTCAATAAATGATGTAAGCATGTTAGGATAACACACATGATATTAGTCTTTTGACTTTAATATCAGTATGTAAGTTCCCCTCACCACTAATTTAGGTGTGTTACACATTATATAATCATCATGTATTTGAGATAGGCTATATAGCACAGCTAGAAGGCTCTCTAGCTACAGGTTAGACACTGGGTCAAATCACACAGCTATCCCTCTTATACTGTGCCACCACATCAGAAAGTAATCTCTACAGTGTAAGTTTATTCATGGTAGGGTCTCTTAATATAAAAATATACATTTGTCATCCCACTGATGTTGAGGGAAAAAACAGATCTGAACAGCAGTTGGAGCAATAAAAACAGATTTTATTCAGGGATATAGCAATAGAGGAAAAGAGATATCAATATAGAACTGGATTTAATTCTGAATACAGTATGAATTTACAGGAATTTACAGCACAGTAGGAGTCTACAAATAGAAAATTGCCAAGAGAAAACATCAGGGATAAGGAAGATTCTTGCTAAACCAATTAAACAAAATTCTTGCTGAACACAGGTCAAGGTGATCAGAATCACCTGAGAGATAGTGGAAGATGACAAAGCCAACTAAATATCATGGATGATAAGACATAGAGAATAGGAAAATTCTGGTTAAACCAACGTTGCAGAGTTCCTGCTAAAACTAGATTTCACAAGGAAGTACACTGATAGGCCTAGGAGAAGGTTCAGAAGGTTGTCTAAAGTTTGGTCACTGGCACTATGCTGATTGGTAGTAAGCAATAAATAAATCATTAATGAATAAAATAATAAATTATATAAATAAAGCATGTAATTTATTTTATTTATGGAAAAATAAGCATAAAGAGTAGTGGTAAAAGAAACCAGACTATGCAACAGGAGGCCCAATTTTGAATTCTGCTTCTACTTTCTAAGTAACCATAGCAAGTGACTATCTCTCTGTGCCTTAGTTTCTTCATCTGTTACATGAAGATAATAGCAGTAGCTACATATAATGTAATTGGACATATTTAATCAGATAATCTATTTTTAAATTCTGCATAATGCCTTGTAAATAATAAGTATCAACAACTGCTAGCTATTCAAACTGTTTTTACTATGGGGTATTGTAATATTGTAAGAGTAAGAAGGAAAAGCATGAGAAGAGATGGAGGAAAGGAAAGATAGATAGATTGATAGACAGAAAGACACATAGATTGATTTGGGGAGAAGTATGTTTGTCTTTTATTTCCATAAAAATGACTTTGACCTAAATAATTTAAAACATAGATAAAACTGAAAAAAAGGAAGCGAAAGATATACTATATTTAGAATATCTAAACATTGAAGGCATGTTATTTCATAAATGACAGATTTAATAAATTAAATATTGATTAATGGAGTAATCATAATAATTCTTTGATGTGTTTCAACTGAGACTTGTTGTTCTATTCACAGAAATAAACACTGAGAATAAATAAATAAAACATTAAAAAATCTCAACAGAAATAACTAAAATATGCAAAAAAAAAAAAAAAAAATCAGCTACCCCCCAAAGCAGAAAAGGAATACCTTTAATGTTGCTACTGCCCAACTTCTTTCCTGATCTATCCAAGATGGAAGTTGATCACGTATTCTTTGCTGAGAATCCTTTAACAGAAACAATTATTTTCTTTGGTATGTTAGGTAAAATAAATTCAGAGTTTAAAAATAGCAATTGACTAGTTATTTTTATGACACAAATTGAAAAAATACTCATTCTATATGCTATTTTTTATATTTTACAAGTCATCATGACAAAATTCTATGTAACAAAAGGTACACAGAGAACTATCTAGACAACTATTGCATTTATTTTCATTGTACTTAGTTTTTCACGAAACTTAAGAAAAACTTAAATGTCATAAGAAACTATGATTTAAAAGTACATTATTTTAAATTATATCTTGCTCTTCTATCATGATCTACATTCTGTACAACATTTTCAATGTCCTAATTTGAAGACTATTATCTATTATTTATTCAAACAGAAAAGCTAAAGAAAAACCTGAATTTGATTAATGTTATTAAAAATTTTCAGAAATAATTTTAAATTTCATTTATATAAGAAAAATTCCTAGTTATAATACCAGGTTTGATTTTCCTAAAGAGTATAAAATTTTTCTTAGAATAAAGTACTATACTGAGAAAAATAAACTAATTTCTTAGTATTTAATATTATTCCCAAAACAATATGTCTTCAAAGTCAAAAAATATATTGTCCATATTGTAGCAGCAGAGGCCAAAACACACTCCTCTAATCAAAATATAATTTCAACAATAATTTTAAACTCCTCTGAAGCTAATTATAGTTTATGAAGCCAAAGCCAGAACTATTTTCTCTAGGAGTAAATGAATAAATTCTATTTTAACTTACAGCTTTCCGCAACATATCTCCAACAACCACACCTGTAAAAGTATCCCACTCCTTTTGAATAAAAGTGAAGAAAACAAAAAAAAATTTAAAAGTCAACAAAATTACCTTAATTTTCCTATAAAATGACTTACAATGCAGCTAAGAACACTGAAAAACAAAACTTCTTTCATATCTACTCCCTTCTTCTAATATATTAACATTAGAGTTCATTTTCCAATATAAAATAATAATAAAAGGTACTAGGCATCACTTTGTTAAAACAAAAACATATAGGTTAGTCTCAATGTCTAAAAACTTAAATTAGTAATTCAATTAACATTTCTTACTACCTGTTAATTTGTTCTTTAATATGCTATTTCTCACCATTAGATTAGCGGTAAAGTATGCCAAAAATTTAAAAATTTTATGATTGGTAAAGTTCAGAAAATTACTTCCATTGACTTATCTTTTTCTACAGATTGGAATAACTGTCATTAATCTGTCATTAATTAAACTGTCATTAATCCACTTTTTTTTAGCCACAGAATCAAGATTAATCAAGTGTTCTGGAATATAGTGCTCCAAGAAAATCTATGTCTTCACCATAGAATTCCCCCAAGTTAGATAATAAATAGCACTATCTTACTGTTTGTCACACACAGTCTAGCAAATATAATACATATTGGATAGCAATCTGGAAAAATTACCAAAGCAACATAATTCCTGTCTCCACCCATCCTGGCCATCCACTCTCCCTATTGCAATTACACAACCACCTGTCATTAAAATAGGGGTGATTACTTCTACAATATATAAGAAAAATATTCTATTCTCTCAGTGATGATTTGCTCATATTTTAGTAGGAAAAAACAGGGAATACAAAGTCTTATATTACATGAAACATAATGATCATAGTCAAAAAAAAATATGCAGGAGGAGAGAAAGACATAGAAGTTAACAATAGGAATAAAGAGGGTCATTTTAAATAAACAAATGAACCAGACCATATTGAGTTAGAGGAAAACAAAGAAAGAACACGGGCAGAATTATGAATGATCTGCCTTTGTTAAACAATTTGAATGAAGGGATACCAGAAAACAGCTAAAGTCTGACCAGGTAGAATTAAAGGTTACTAAATCAAAGATGTACGGCACTGGCACCTGGCTATGAAAGTCTCACTTTATGAGAAAAACTATTTGTGAATAAATGTTTTTAAAAATTATAGGTAGACCAGAGATGGATTAGTTAAGCTCTAGCTCAAGGGAGATTCTTTTAAAGTTTCAGAGGACATTGTATGGCAAACAAAAATAAAGACTACAGACAAAAATGATAAATTATACATAATCATATTAACATAAATCTATGGGCTCTAGGAAGCTTCTGAGAATTGCCCACCCTCTTGCTTCACCTGCTGACAATTTTTTGCGGGTATGTGCCAGGGATTGAACCCAGAGGCATTTACCCACCGAGCCACATCCCTAGCCCTTTTTCATATTTTATTTAGATGCAGGTTCTCACTGAATTGCTTAGGGCCTTGCAAAGTTCTTGAGGCTGGCTTTGAACTTACTGTCCTCCAGCTTCAGACTCCCAAGCTGAAATTACAGGCGTGCACCACAATGCCCAGCACCTGCTGACTCTTGAAAAATTACAGAATGTAGTTGAATGCCCATATTCTCTCACTTTTTCTATTTATTGGTTCTATTGTGTAGGCCAGGAAAATAAGAAGGCTGCTTCCTCTGGTATACTAAGTAAATGAACCTAGGTTCAGAAAAATTTAGGCAGCTTGATAAGTTGCAAGATTCCTTTCCTTGCTATCACTCTGGAATGTTGGGTTTACCAATAGGGAAACAGAACTGAAAAACAGCATTTTACACTAAATTTCTAACTTAGTAAAAGATTAATAAATTAACACATAATTTGTGACCTAAAGTAGCTTCTAATCTAACTAAACATATACCCATCACAAAATTTTCATGTAACTCTAAAATTTTCTTCCTTCAATTCCACTTACATTTTCTTGAAAAAGTTCAGGATGCATGCCCCGAACAAAATGCAAAGCAAACATCAACTGGTCAGCCTGCAAAGAACAACAGATGGTATCATGCCTTCTCTAAATATGTATTTTTGGAAAAACACAGCCTTTAAATTTTGGCTCATAAAAATGTATATTTTGTCATCAAATCACCTACTTTAATCAATATAAGAAATGACTATAAAGACTATATCTTCTACACAGAACAAACACTTCTAAGTTGGGGGGGGAAGCAAAAGTAATAAGTAATAAAATTTTTAAAGAAAGTATTAAAATTAATTTGAGTATATATCTCAATAATATATATATATATATATATATATATATATATATGACTTATTTAGTTAACTGAAATCCAGTTATTAAGTTTGAACCAGATATTACTAACCAGATCAACTTTGTACATTACCAATTTTCAATTTGTCATTTTGTAGGTTTAAACATATGGGTGATTACAAGTAACTATCACAACTACAACATTTTCTCTTTTCTAGATATTGACTAACTTCCTAAATTTAATAGGAAACTAGTGAAGTCTTCACTTTCCACTAAATAAAAAAAGAAGTCTTACCAACTAAGCCCAAACAAAAAATAATTTCATGTCAAGAAAGCGGTACGTCAAACATATTTTATTATTTGATCAGTATGAATGTTTCCACCTGTGGAACAACAACTTTTAGAGAACTAGTATAGAAAATTAGCAACTGGCTTCTCAGTGCCAGCAAGACGGAAGACAGAAAACTATAAAAACTTTCTAGTTACAAACACATAAATTTAGATAAAAGATAATATAACACATGGTTGCACTGAAAAGAATGAGACAACATTCCCCCAAACTCAGAAATAGTGAACTGAAAAACCAGAGTGGCATTAAAACAGCTGTGGCTGAGTTGAAGAAAAATATCAACCACAGTAACCTAAAGTTATGCCCTACCAGAGACAATATGAGAGGTATTCTAAAAATGAGATCTGGGTCTAAAACTAGAGTCCTTAAAAGTTACATTATAAAGAAACACTATGGCCGTATGGCCATATTCACAGAAGACAGGAGACAAATTCACCTGAAATCTGGGTGAAAGAAAGTGCCCTCTGAAAAATTTACCACACTTGAGCTTAGCACAAACTTCACAGATAAATTTAACTATGGGACTAATAAGAAACTAATAGTGATTTCTCCGGTACCTGGCAAGAGTTTTTAGGCAAACCTGGTTTAGACAGTTACTCACCTACCCAATATCTCAAGCACACCGAAAGATAAAACTTAAAAGCCCAAAACTGCCAACATAAGAAAATAATCCACTATAAGCAAGCATCGCCAAACACAACAGACAAGAATAAAACCCCAAGAACTTCAGATAACAGAAGAATTTGAAAGACATTCTATATAATAAGTATGATTAAATAACAGTTAAGCACATAGAAGAGATTAACACTCCCCAGAAGCAGATACTTCTAAAAAAGGCAGAGCAGGGAAGGGACAATTTCTGGAAAAAAAGTATATTAGTTGAAATTAGATTCAGCTGATGATTCAGATGATGAAAAGATTAGTGAAATATAAGAAAATGAAAAAAAAACTAAAGAAATTGCTCACATTAAAATAAAACTAAACTATTAAAAAAATTACTGAATACAAAAATCCATACACAGGAAAATTGCAACATAAACTTTGTATAATTACGAGTACAGGTAAATTTTCAAATGATAAAATGAATTTTTAATACTGGTTATATAACCATTCAAAGGGGATAACTTAAGTTGCAGGGGGAACTATAAAGGAGACCTCTTTCTTCATACATATATACATATTATCTGATTGTTATTAAGAGCACATGAAATTTTACATTAAATATTAAAAGATATAATTTTAAATAAAAATATTAAGTCCAAGCCCTTTATAAAACACATAGTATTAATGACAGTCTATATTGCAGGGAAGAATAAAATTGGTACATTCTGAAGATAATTTTATTCCCTTTTAACATTCTACATGCCCCTACATCAAGAAACTTCACTTCTAGAAATTTATGCAAAAGGATCATGTTATGTGTTCCTAGATAAGAAATAAGGATATTTATTAAAATATCATTCATAACAAGAGTAATAACTGAAGTCACCTGAGTGTTCAAAATCTATCGTGTTACTTTCCTCTAGGTGGTTGTTTTTTTACCTGCCCTGTGTCATGAGATGGAGGTGCCCTATAGTATTGTCAAGGGAAAGACCCACCTAGGACACAAAAAGACATGTACCACCATTGCCTTCATACAATTTAACTTGGAAGACAAGAACTCTAAGATGGTGGAAGCTATCAAGACCAATTAAATGACAGATATGAAATGGGCTGTCACTCAGAAGTCAACATTCTGGGTCCAAACTCTGTAATTCGCAATTCCAAATTGTCCTTCAAAATAAAAATTTATCATGAATAATATTCAAAACAGAATATACAGCATGGCCTATTTTGACAAAAGAGAAGGAGTATGCTTATATAAACATATATGGCTATATTACATACCTTCAAAAAATAAATTGGAAGGATAATAAAATTTTTATTGGTGCTTCAGTTTTGAGATTATAGGTCATTTTTGTTTTCTTTTTACTCACATATATTTTGCAAATTTTCTAATATAAGCTTATGTTATCTGTTTTTTAAAGAAATTCGGTAAAAGTCAGGCATAGTGATATGTGGTTGCAATCCCAGTGAACTCAGGATACTGAGGTAGGAGGATCACAAGTTCAAGGCCAAATTAGTGAGACCCCATCTCAAAAGTAAAAAATTAAAAAGGGGATGTTTTTCACTGGTAGAATACCCCTGAGTTTAATCACTAGTATTGCCAAAAGAAAAAAAAATAAACTTAGTAAATGCTTATTTACAAAGAGAAATCATCTATTCAAGTACAGTCCTTTCAACCAAGTTCTAATGTATACCATATTTGGCTTTTCCTATATCGCAAATAACACATCATATCCAGTGTTGTATGTGTATGTGATTATAAACGTACAAAAGGTAAATATAATAATATTAGATATAACATATGAAAAAGATACATTTTTTTTAAAGATCCTCCTGGAAATACTACTAGTAAGTCTGTTATGATTTGGATCAGAGGTATCCCCCAAAATGCTCACATAGCAATGCATGAATGATCAGAGGTGAAACCATTAGATTATGAGAACTGTAACTTAATCAGTGAAGTAATCCATTTGATGGATTCATAACTTGAATGAATTACTATGTGGTAACTGTAGACAGGTCACTGAGGGTGTGCCTTGTCTTTTGCTCCTCAATCTCTCTCTGCTAACTCGCTGTCATGAGCTGACAGCATTCCTCTGTTGCACCCATTGGCCATGCTTATCTAGGCCCAAAGGAATGGAATCAGTTGACCATGGACTGAACCTCTGAAAACACATGTTAAAAACTTCTCCTCTAAGTTGTATTTGTCACCCCTGTTCTCCAGATCCAGTATTTTGAAAAATAAAGTATGATTTATTTTATAAAAACATGTTAGGTATTTATGTGTATACATACAAGTACTCAACAGATGTGCCTTGATTAAGTGAATAAATATAAATAAACAATTGAGCATAAAAAAAGATGCTCCACATTATATCAGAGGGAAATGCAAATGAAAAGGAAATACTCCCATGCATCTGTTAGAATGGCCAGAATTCAAAACACTGACAATAGTAAATGCTGGTAAGGGTGTGTAGAAACAGGAACACTCATTCATTGCTGGTAGGAATGCAAAATGGTACAGCCACTTTGGAAGACAATTTGGCCATTCCTTATAAAACTAAACTTTATTCTTACCAGATAATCCAGCAACTGCTCTCCTTAGTATTCACCTAAAAGAGCTGAAAACTCATATACAAAAACAGTAGCATTGTTCAGAAACTAAAACTCAGAAGCAAACAAATGTCCCTCAGCAGGTGAATGAATAAACAAATTTTGATCACTACTAGACAATGGGATATTATTTAGCACTAAGAAAAAGTAAACTTAAATGTGCATTACTAAATGATAGAAGTCAATCTGCAAAGGCTACATAAGATTCTAAATAGATGACATTTTAAAAAAGGCAAAATTATAATAAAAGGATCACTGTTTGCCAGGAGTTAAGGAGAGAGGGGAAAGATGAAAAGGTGGCTCATGCAATTAAAACTACTCTGTCTGATGCTTAAATGGTGAATGTATAGCATTTACATTTATCAAAACCCACAGAAGGTACATCACAAAAGGACCTTAATTTAAACTAATAGACTTTAGTTAAAAATTATATGTCAATGTAGGTTCACTGATAATAAATGTACCGGCCTAGTGCAGTATTTTGATAGTGGGAGGGAGGTTGGGTGGTACATGTGGGCATGGAGTATAGAGGAAGACTCTACTTTCTGTTTAATTTTGCTGTGATTCTAAAACCACTCTAAAAAAATAGTTTAAAAGGAATTCACAACTATAACATGAAAATAAGCACAAAATGAATAAATAAACCCTAAAAATATAAAAATCAGAAGCACTAAGCAAAAATGCAAGATGTAGTCAAAAGAAAGTTACAACCAACTAATGTACATGAAATAGCTACTAAGTGAATTAAAATACTATTAAAAAGCAATGCAAGGCACATCTTCTGAGAGATGTGTAGTATTCTTTGGTATTAAAAGGTCAGAATTCAGGTTTGGGTTCAATAGTGATAAGCTAGAAAAGTCACTGAGATGCTTATTTTACAAGTTAATGGATATTTTATGATTATAACATTCATAGTTTAAGGTATACAAATATACAATGAGTAAGATAAGACAATTAGTGTATTATTTTAAAGTCTTTATCTTTTAATTATGCACTTAATTCTTTATAAATCTATACACACAAACTTACAGAATTATTACATTTATTGAGCTATTTTTTTCCCTTTGAACTTTAGAACAAAGTAGTCTCCCAATGTTAATGGAATGAAGGAAGTCTCTACCACTCTATAATCCTCAGATTACCCACTGGAGTCTGTAAACTCATTGCTAATTATTACTGCACCCAAACTGCAAAGTACTGT